TTGTATTTCGAAGCCCGATCGATTCAAGTTTTAACATAAATGAACACTAAATTTTTTCAACAAGATTGATTGTTTCAACAAGATTGATATATTAAATGGCACAGAAAAAAAAGAAATGAACCACAATCATCAAAAAAGAATCTAAAAGATTACCGGACTCGAAACGGACTCGGACTCGGACTCGGTCCTTAATGTTAGGGACTCGGACTCGGACTCGGAATAAATTTTTGAGGACTCGGACTCGGCTCGGACTCGGTCCCTCCCGGACTCGGCTCGGACTCGGTCCCTCCCGGACTCGCCCATGCCTGCTATCCAGCACTGTTTTTCTTAGAGAGTAGTGCTGAAAGATAAGGAAAATTGACTCCATAACGACAGTTGTAGAATCCAAGTAATAAAATTTCGAAAACAGGCATGCGCTAATAGTTCGGCCTGAAAACTTGATGCGACCGAACTGTTCGGACGAAGATTGAAAATACGCTAATTTATATTTTTCTCGTCAGAGATATCAGCGAGTACTTTGTTGAGGAACTATCAGGACAAAGTACCATAAATCTTATAAAGATACATTTGAATTAGGGCTGCAACTTTCTGTCTACTTTATTTGTACAGTGATGAAACGCATTTTTTCATGAAAACAAAGTAAATCAATCTGCTACAGAGACCACATCAGTAAAGTATTCTTTAGTTAGAGAGTAAATAAGATATAATGGAAACTAAAGTACTTTGAATTTAGTGTAGTAAAACAAATATAAAGCTACTCGAATTCAAACAGAGGTGGCGGAATGATTCTGAAACTATGGGTGCTCAAGGAGAACAACGAAAGGAAAAAATAAGTTTTTGCTAGAAGAAAACGAAAATTTTCAAAATCTGTGAGTGCTAAGGCACCAACGGTCCCCATGGTTCCGCCACCTCTGAATTTAAAGTTTTCTTTACATGACTATCTACGACTAGGGAGCAATCATGTACTGCGAATTCTAAATATTTAATAAACTTATGGAAATCGATTATAAAATCGCTGGAAATTTTATAGGTTTAATAATATGGTCAAGCGCTTTATAGGATAATGAAAAATGCTTATTTTTGACTTTTCATAAAATCGACTTAATTTTACAAAAATTCTGATTTTCCTCTTTTTATGAAATCATTCGGGATTTTGTTGCAAGATAGAGTATCCTTCTCCATTGTGGAAAAGTAAAAAGTCTAACTGGTTTTTCAGCTAAATTAAAAATCAAATTAAAAAATCGAATGAATTATATACTTTTTCAAAAATCACGCTGGTTTATGTGTTTCTTAAAAAACAATGGCAATTTTATTTTTTTCTTCGATTTTATCGTTTTTTGTTTTTATTTTTCTGATCTGTTTTCCCCCTGCACATAAAGTGAAACTCCTTCAGCATACGGATACGGATGATTTGCCTAGTACGTCCGAGAAGGGAAGGCGTCAGGTTCCCGTAGAAAGATACAGGTGATCAAAGAGAAGTTAGAATAGCTTCTTTTCATTTGATTTCAGCTTCAGTTGATTAAGGCACTGTTGGCTTTCAAAATACCGCATTATTTGTAACTTACAAGAATTTGTTTTTCAGATCCGCATGCTTCGTATAAAGCAATGTACTTATGTTCGAAAGCTTTTTTCTTTTGAAACGTTTCAAATTCATTTGTAAGCCTGTTTCTTTCTCAGTCGATATTTCTCCTTTTTCTGGTGTGATCTCTATTCTTTGAGCATATTTTTTATTTTTTTTATTTTCTTTGGCGACATGAATCGTAAGCTGTTTGTGGTCTTCCATAGCACTCTGTGTTTTATTAGTGAGATTGTTTGTTATTGAAAGAACATCGATTTGATGGAATAAAGAGATGAAACAGATTTTCAGAACGATTCATTATTATAAATCCCGAATGTTTCACGTAGCTACCGATCTGATTCATCTCGATTTCTTGACACGAAGGATGACAGAAGTAGTCTGCAGAGAGAGGTATGCTAATGTGTTCAGGATGTCTTTAATGGCTTCTTAGGTCCAAGAATCAGATAACAAGATCCTGGAAGATTTACAAGATCATATACGATCTTGAAGGATCTTATGATAAAAAATCACAAGATTTCAAAAGCTCTCATACATTCTTATCAATTGAAAGTGATCTTCCATCGAGGTCAACTTTTCTTACCGTTCATGACTAAACTTACCTTGGAACCATTTTTACACGCTTTAAATGATCTTTCAAAGAATAGAGTAGAAATGAAAGACCGTGGTCTGCTATTCTGACCTTCAAATTCCAAATCTCCGAATGTTGTTCTATTACAGATAGAGATTTAGTGGATATGCAAATGATCAGTATAGATATGAGATATTCGATAACTGTACCGGAGCATGAGTATTTACTTATGGGGCAATCATTTTCTTCATTAAAATTTTTTACGACGTTTCAGTCCGTTTTTCTATAGCAAACAGCACCAATATTATTATAAACAGCAGTTAGATCCATGGTCATGTGGCAGTGTTTTCAATAGTACTTAAACGTAGGTATGCCATTTATAGAGGAAAGTGAGCTGATAAAAATCCTTAAAGAAGGATCCATATTAGTTCTTTCAAAAGTTATAAATTTTTTTGTTTTAAAGCAACACTGTGTTAACAGCAATAATTCTGTCAAAACAAAGAATTATGAAGTGAAATTTTCTTTTGTTCTTTCGCTAATAGTCCGCTAATATTACAGAAAATTTGACCATTATATCTTCATAAATTCGCTTTTTATTAAACTTTTGTTATTGAAGGAGAGCAATGTTTTTCCAAACCTTCCAAACCGCACAATTTTCAATGATAACATTTCCCTTTTATTAGAGGTGATATTGCGAATTTAGAAAGATATAACGCTCAAATTTTCTGGAATATTAGCAGACTATTAGCAAAAGATCACTCACCCGTAATGCGATGCCCTCCGCTAAACAAATAGGTAAATAAAAAGACATAAACTTAAGAACAATACAAAAGTAAAAATTTATCGGGTCGGATTGTGTGAAGGTTCAGTTGTTGTCGGGTCGGATTCGAGTTACGTTTTCTTAACCCGTGCGGGTCTCTAGTCTCCTACGAATTATATATTCATCAACATCAGCATAGAACATTTTATTTCTGTTTCGGAGATAGGGTGTAAACAATGTGATAACGGTAACTCCGCTCGATGAGCCATCAAAAGTAAACGCACTCTCGATGACAACCGATGGTTTGGATAAGAATAGTTTTCGTTCAATTACGCGAGGCCAATCACAATCCAGACTTTTTACATTCGCGTTCGATGATCCTCAATCAATATTAAACTTGAAAATCTCATCGTGTACCGCGCTCAAAGCAAATATTGACGGGAAAGACGTCTACTGGCCATATACAGTAACCACGCGACCTGACACTCAAGTCTGTCTCGAATTTCCAATCAAATATTTTCCACAAGGTGTTATGTCGAAATCTATACATAACATGAAAATGGGAATCAAATTTAGATCAACAGACCAGGCAAGTAGTATCTCATATTGTAATTTAATAAATATTTCCTTTATACCTCTTTTAGTACCAAAATATGATTATCAGTCGTATGAATTTAAAAATTTAACACTGATTGTTGGTGGTACCGCGTCTAACGTCGATGTTACAAATGATCAAAGAAGTTTTGTTTAATCTGGATGACACAACAACTATCACGCTACTCTATGCAAATACAAGTTTCGCCGATATTCAGTGATCATCCAAATCCTACCAGGTATCTTGATTGGATCATTCGGGTTTATAAGAAAAAAGGTAAAGGACATATTGGTCTCAATTTTTGTCATAAAAAATTGTTTTTACAACGAACTATATTACCTGAAAATCATGCAAGAATTGCTCATACTTTAAAAATCATTGGAACTTTACTCGAAAGTAAAGAACCAAATGAAGCACTGAACTATTATCAATAAGGTTTGACTGTTTTTAAATATGTGCTCCACCTGATCGTTTAGGTACTATTAATTGTTTGGAATTATATAGTGCTTTGTACTACGACTGTGATCTGTTAGACAATGCTTTGCTTAATGGAATGAAAGCATTAGAACTACAAGAGAAAATTGTAAGTACTCCGAAGTGTACTCTACAAATTGGTAAAGAAAACCAGATGGGGGAGCACTTCCTTTAAGAAAAAACAGCAACAAGAAGAGATTTGTCGGCTACAAAAAACGGTTGATGATTTCGATGAGTCAGTAGCTGATCTCGAAGACCAGCTGGATAAGCTGGAACTGAAATGCGACCAACTTGAACAGTATAACAAACGAAAAAATCTAATCATCCACGGAGTACCCGAGACACAGAATGAAAATACCGACAAAATAGCTGTTGAAATCGCCAAAATTACCGGTCATATATTAGATGAAAAATTTATTTATTCCTCACATCGCTTACCATCTAAAATGATAAATGTTCCTCGACCGATTGTTGCGAGTTTTTTACGATACGCCGATCGGGAGGGGATAATTAAAAATCGAAGAAAATTGCGTCAATATGAACGATGTAAAACTACTTTTATCAATGAACATTTAACTTCGCTGAATAATAATCTTTTCATCATGCGAGACATAAGTTGATCAAAAGGGTTAGTAGGTTACGAACGATTAGTATCCCAAAGTACCAAAACGGTTTTTTTATCAATATGAAATACGTTTTTTATGAAATACCAAACTGTAAATACCAAAAGTAATTGATATGTTCTATGATCATTGCTGTTCATCGGTAGGTTCTGCTTTGTCTGCATCAGTCAAATGAGCTAGGTCACTGCGATTGTTTATTGTTACATGTTCAGGTGTTTTCATCTTTCTGAACAATAGAAACGTAAGTACAGCATACGACTGACGAAACACTATGTAAAATACTATTGACATTGTTAATAGTTCTTTTGAAGAAACTGCTGAATTGTATGTTGATAAAAGATTATGAATTTGTAATGGTAACTGTTGTAAAATATGCCATAAAACGTAAATTATTAAATTGTTGACTAGTTTTTTCGGTGATCTACCATGAAGACAAGTTTTTTTTCGATTCGAACAATTCAAACGATATAGTAGAACGAGAGTCGAAAGAGTTATGCCAAATGCGGGTATATATAGGATGAAAACAAGATACAAATGTGTTAGTATTGGAATAACCATATAGCACATTTGACAATTAGAGTCTGTATGACACATAGGTATGTATTGTAAAGAAAGTATGACAATAGAGCTCAATAGAAGAACTAGCATGAATTGAATTACTTGTCGTTTTATCGTTAACAATCCATTTTTTCGAAATAAAGTATAATGTCGTTCTACCACAGCATATAACATAAGGTAAGACATGTTCACTGAACACAAATTTGATAGTAGTGTATATAAGGAGCATGTAAATCGAGATTTCGAAAACCATGATAAATAAAATTCAGATATAATTAATGGTGTAACTGTAAAATTAGTTAATAAACAATAGATTAACATCGAATAAAATATATAGGTAAAATGTGTACGAAGAGATTTATTTGTAATATACTGTTGAAGATCATATATAACAAAACATGTACCGATTAATGTTGAAATCACTAACATCAATACATAGGAAGGATGGTATGAAAATATACTCGAATCTATTGGTGTACTGTAATTCATCTCTCGAAGATTGGTGAATGACATAATCGAAAATCAATGTTTGTCTGACAAGAGTGTCAGCAGTTGAATTATGAATGTAGTTTTACTCTCTATTTTGATATATGAAAGAATAGCCTAAAGAACGGAAGAAAGGAAATAATTATCTTAAGAGCTCTTTAAATGGAAATTAAAGATGAAAAAATATTACACAAAAATTATACACATTGACTACTATAATTATACAAGAAAAAAAAACAATTTAATTCGAGTACGTGTATCTTCATTTAGTTTTTTTTGTTGTATTATCCAAAAGTCACTTTGCAAACTGTTCTATCCTGTAACAAAGGTATACATCAACTAACTATTTCCGAAACTTTTTGTCTTTCTAACAGTCAATATTTCTATAAAATTTCTAAAAATAGCGTAGAAAAGTCATTGAGTTCGTGTTATGTTGTCCAGAACAACAATCACTTCAGCTTGTGCATGAAACCAGTTAACAATACAAAGCAAGATGTCCAGTTATTGTTTGAATCACCGGAAAAAAAATAAAGTTGATTTTGACTTGCCGAAAGTACTTTTTCGTATTCAGCGCACTCGATAACCCCGAAGATTCTCTATTTGTGGTGAGAGGTACTACCAAAAGTTTAGGAAAAACTTTCAAACTGATATTATTTTTCCACGAAATTTGTTTGTGTCCAAAATTTTCCTAAACTTTTGCCAGTAAATTTAAAAGTACCGAAAATATAAAATCTTCTGTATTATCGAGTGTGCTCGATACAAAAACGCACTTTTCAGCAACTCAAAACAAAGTTTATTGTTTTTGTACCGGTGACATGTAAAGGAAACAGGTTTTTGAACCATGCACGTAACTAGTATAGAAGATAATAGAAGTGAGGTAGAAGTATAAAAGGAAGGTTTTTTAACGTATTAGCTTCGCTCCGTGCACCGTATTGTCTTTGACACTTTACAGAGACCAATGCACTAATTGAGTTTCAAATTTCTAGAACTGTGTGTAAATACTGACAGAAAGAGGTGTTGTATTATATCGAAAACACCCTTTACAATGTTTAAGCAAATCAAAGTGTCCTTGATCCAAGAAGGATTTTATTGAACTGGTCACTATTATATATTATTATAAATATGAACATTCTTTTTGCGATAATTAAGAATAGAGAAAAGGCTGTTGACTAGATAATAGTTTTTCTAACAGCACTACATACAATGAAACTATTTCAAAAACAGATTTGCTTTGACGATAATGTAGCGCTACTATGCATCGATATTGACTGAGTTATGAATTTTCTAATTTTGCACGAAAATAAGCAAAAACGGGATATTTCATCTAATATAGATTTTCAGTATATTTTTGAATGTTTTCCGACAAGCAAATTTTGCTCAAAGACTCAGACAGGTCTATTGCCTATATTTCCATTCATTTTCAGGATTACCACACCTAAGGAAATATCAGTGCCAGGGCTTCGAGAAAATACCGCGCCTAAACCACGAAAGATTTAGAGGCCATTTAGTTCCCATTTTGGTGAAGACACTTTGTGCTATCTATCCACGTTAAAAGACCAATATAATGCAATGTTAAATTTTCGCATTATGAAATGGTTTTTCAGAAACTCAAATGGTGCGCATATAAGGAAAAAGAATTATAGGAATACAAATCTGTCGAAGGAGGGCAAGTATACGCACTCTGTTTGATGTCTACAGTTGACCATAGTATGGCATACCAGTTCACGGTGAACAGGTGTGCACTCGGACGATTTATATCGAAAGGATCCTGCCGGATTTAAAAATCTGAAAGTATCAAAAGGCTGAATAGCAGGTTCGATAGAGAATTTTATTGCGCATCTAACCATATTTGATTTTTGGTTTGAAACTATGATCGTTCCTCAAAAAATAATTTTTTAAAAAGTT